ATATATATATATATATATATATATATATATATAAAGTAGCTCTGAGTAAACAATAATATATCTAGAAGTATTATTATTCACCCAATAATTGAACAGAAAAATAATGTTTGACAATCTATTCACATATCTCTAATTCACAAGTATGACATTCTTGTAAATAACTACAATGGCCTCCGGGATACAAAGTGATCAATGTCCTGAAGATGACAAATTTGCAAGACTAATTACATGATCACCAATAATCCTGCAGATATACATGATTGACTTTTATTCCAGACCTACCTTGTTATATCAGTGAATTTGCTCCTCCAGTATAATGCCAAAAGTACAAATTACAAAGTGTACCTAATAATATGATGCATGGGATAGATATATGTATGTGGCAGTGCTGATATTTTCCAATAATGACTAGCTATAGCAGCCAATGGGATCACTTATTGGATCAACGTTATCCTCATCATCAGTTTGAAAAATCAAGAAAGGGAAAGGATGAAACATCTTTCATCAACTCCTCCAAGTCCCACTCTCCAATGGTTAACTCTTCTTGAAATAAATTCTCCACCCCAGCCCTATTATTGCAATTATTAAGGATACTGTTTATGTCATCAAAGTAACTATTGTTAGTATCTGTGTTGCATGTGCTCTCCACTTTCAGGTTATGGTCAGAAGTAGTGCTAACACTCTCTAGAGGAGGAACATACATTTCCCCTTCTGCCCCAATATTTACACTCCCAAATATTCCTCCATTTTCCAAATATAAGCCTTTGTTGTGATCAATTCCACTTTGTGAGAAGCATGGCCCTGTGCCATTGAAGAATCCACCACCAGAAGCTGGCATGTTCAGTCCATGCTCTAGCATAGGCAACCTGTCAATTATGGAATTGAGAACCGTGGCATGCATGGATGGTGATGGAGATGATGAATTGAACATAGGCATAAAATCAGGATGTTGATGTTGGTCATTAGAAGTAGTAAACCCTGCCATGTTAAGGTCTTTGTTGTTAGGCTCATATGAGGACTCGCTTGCGTTTGGTGAGGTGTTGTTGGACGACAAATTCTTGAGTCTTTTCTTTATTGTTGAATTCCAAAAGTTCTTAATTTCATTGTCAGTTCGCCCAGGTAAGCGCGCCGCTATTTGAGACCATCTTTAAAAGTGAAACACATGCAATTCAATATTTGTCAGCTTTGTACACAGCAGAAACTAATTGAGTTTGGTGGCTGAATGAAAAATAATGCATAATTTTTTCTTGGAAGCTATATAGTAAAGTATGTTATGCGATTGAGATAATGGAGTGTCTTCAACTCGAAGTCCAAATACAGACAAATTACAATGCCCATGTGTTGTTTTCAGTTGTCCTTTTGTCGTCTACAAGGAGCCGCTAGGACTATATATATGAATATTATATTTAATGCATGTTGTGCATGTATATTTTAACTTGGAATTATTTGTGTCATATTTGAGACTAAGAAGAAATAGATATTGACATCAAAGACTTAACAAAACCATTTTGAAAACTTTGTCGGTCTTATTGTAAATGCAAGGCATCTTAGAATAAGTATCGTTTCTATATAGTTAAGTTGGTTGGACATAGTATGACCAACTAGGTTCAACACTAGGTAGGTAGCTGATTTTTCTTATGAAAAAAAACTAAGGGTGATAAAATTCATTTCAATAATATTTACGTTTTCGAAAAGATACAAATTTTTTTAAGGGTGATACATTCTTAAGGTACATGCAAATTTTTTTAATGGGAAAATGATGGCACATGGGTTTTGTTAATTCTTCATATATTTCATCTAAATTAACCCCACCCAAGCCAACCAGTGGCTGCATAAGTAATAAAGAATTTTGATAATGGTATTAAGACTCGTTCTTTTTTCCTTTTCAAACATTAATCATGTATCTATCTCCCTTTCACTTTTTCAAATAAAGATGATGGCTACAGTTAGGAGGAGCTACGTAGATGTTAGAGATGTTAGATACATTTATTGAATTTGAATGGCAAGTAAGTATATATGAGATAGTGCACGCGTATGTGTATTGGGGTTTACAAATATATAATACATGGCATAGTGTTATATAGAATTAAGTTTAAAAATGCATTATATATGGCAGTGTTACTGTTAATTAATTATCAGTACTAGCATCGTAATGTTATTGATGCATGGAACCCTGTTTCACAAGTTCAGTCTGAAGTTTGAGGTATTATACACGAAATCTTAAGTTGAAATTTTGTTATAAAAAATATGCATGTAACAAATATATGTGGTAAAAAATGTACAAGTTTTGGGGGAGAAATGCATATATATGTAGGTAGAAAAGATGGGTAGACCTGTTTCCAAGAAGGGAATGCAAATGGATGATGAGTTCCTCTTCTTGTGGTGAGAAAGCACCTCGTTTAAGATCAGGCCTCAAGTAATTGATCCATCGAAGGCGACAACTTTTGCCACACCTTTGAAGGCCAGCATTTCTTGCCACATCACTCCAACAACCTTGTCCACTGTTCATCATGTAGTTCATGAGCTTGTCATCTTCTTCGGGTGACCACAACCCCTTTCTAAGCTTGTTGTTATTTCCAGATGCTGCCTCGGGCTTCCTCATAGTGATGGCAAATTAAATTTCCTCTCCCAAGGGTGTGATGTAAGATAAGAGAGAAGGATTTATAGAGAGAGAAATATATGAAAGAAGCTTCATAGGGTGGGAATGATGATGATAATGATGTTGATGGTTGTGGGGTTTGCTTACAAAATAGGGAAGAGTCAGAGAGAGAGAGAGAGAGAATTGGTTGATGAGTCTAGTAGAAAACGGTTTGGAGAGGGACATGAGGGATTGAGAAAGATGGGTGTCTTCTTGTCTTTGACTCCATGGCCTTGTCTTTTTTATTCTTTTCTATTTTTTTCTTCACTCACAAGGTAATCATCATACGTGAACCATAGGATGCCACACACATACACACACCAAAACAATATATGTATAGTATATATACAACTTTGTTTTCTAACCAAGCCAAGTTATTTGCTTCCACTTCACATAATCATCCCTTCCTCTCTACCCCCACACGTGTAGTTCAAGATATATTGATCAACACATAAAAAGATAATCAGTTTATTTATTATGACGGCACATCCTGAAAAAAAAAAAAGTTTCTAACTTATATTATTATTTTATTTTTGTGCATAAGATCCACATGCTTAAGTTTCATCATTGCATAAAAAAGGAGTAAAACAGACTCAATATATGTACGAACATATACATGTTAATTATATACGCCTCTTTTGATCATTCACGAAAAGTGACGAAGGAAGAAACTTGGAGATCTCTTTTCCTCTCTCTAGATTTCCGTAATTGTTAAATTATAATAATAATTATTTTTAATTAAAGTAGATGTTGATAATACTCTAAGTGAATTAAATACGAATGAGAACTTTATTAATGAATAATGAATAAGTCACACAAATGAATATATCGATAATATTACATAGATATTAAATGTTAAAAGAACTTTATCAATAAGAATAGAGTAAATTACACAAATAAAATTGATATTATATCCTAATTTCAAAATCTTAAAACATTAAGTTAACAAATCGTTTTTACTTTTTTATTTATATACTATTTAACATATATAATTCTATGTGAGATTTTTTTTACACATTACAAGAAAATTGTAATATAGTGACACACATCTTATAATGACACTATACATGTTACTAAAAATTATTTTTACCCACACAATAACTACAATATGTTGGTATATTATTAAAAAGTTACATTAAGTTAACAAATCGTTTTTACTTTTTTATTTATATACTATTTAACATATATAATTCTATGTGAGATTTTTTTTACACATTACAAGAAAATTGTAATATAGTGACACACATCTTATAATGACACTATACATGTTACTAAAAATTATTTTTACCCACACAATAACTACAATATGTTGGTATATTATTAAAAAGTTTGGATATAGACTATAGTGACACACAAAATATATTGTTAAATCTTATTCAAAATTAACACTAAAATTGTGTATAACTATATGTTAAATAGACATATATCTACATATATTGTACCTATAATGATACTTTTTATATGTCACTATATGTAACATTTCTTGTAGTGACACTTAAATTCTAATAGTATATTAACACGTATATGTATTAATATAACTTTTATAAGAATATTTTAGCATCTTATGACTTGATTTTTTGGTTAAAACACACAAAATGTGCTTAGATACTCTTCTTGAAAAGCAAATGAAAGTATATATGTATTAACAACCCCTACCCCTTACCCCATATAGTATTCTTAAATCAGCGAATCTCGTATGAAAATTAAACACCGGATACGCTAGCATGATATTAAGCCAATACTGCGTCTGTCTAGCTGTTACCACCAACCAAATAGAAATAAAGATTCGTTAAATATCTATGTATTTAATTTAATTGTGTTGGTTTTATAAACTTCCTAGCGTGGGTATATGAAGGTTGGGACCAAGGGTAGGGTATAGCAGGTGTTATATAATTTGCAGAGGAATATAATGCTGACTTCCATAAATAGTCACGAAAAGACGAAGTTTAGTAAATTGCGATTGAAGGAATTAAAGTGATTTCACTTTAGCCTTGTTTTGGTTTTGTCATGCATATTCTTCTACACATAAAGGTGAATCATGCTAGAAAAAGAAGAAAGAAATGGTGCAACAGATAATTGACTTTTCGGACCATCTTTAAAAAGCAAGGACAATATATATTCACATATGGACAATTGCAGTTTCCTTAATTATATAATAAATTAACTAATTAATTAACATCACTACCTGCAAAACAAGTTGCCCCAAATTTACTTGGAGGTTAGCATTCTGCTGACGTACTTATGATAAAATCTTAGCCGTGAGGGTTAAATTATTTTCCTTATTTTAAAAACAAAACAAAACTATCCTTGGAGGACTTATATTGTGTGGTAGTTAAAGTGGTGGATGTAGAGACTAGGGACTAAACACTTCTCAAAAGCACATTGGATATGATTGGAAGAACCATAGAAAGATAAAGACCCTCCATTGCTAGCTGCGTAACTGGTGTAGGCACTAAGTTAATTAATTGGAATGTATCAAAACAAAAAACAGCCAAAATCTTTTCAATGAGTAGAGACCCACTTCCGGCACGAGGAAAGGAGCACCCAATTGGAATAAGGATAATGGAATTGCCCTTTCTAGCTATAGTCTCATTCTGTAGATATATTTATTATGATTGTTCTTTTTCATTGTAAGTTTTGTAACCACCTTATATATACAAGTTCTACAAACTCAAAAGGTTAAAAATATTGTCAAAAAGTTGCAAGATAGTACAAGAAAAAGCTACAAGAAGCAATCAATTTAATAAATTGGCATCCCCTAAGAGGGACCAAGTGGGCATGAGGATGATATTTTCTGTCATAAAATCATGCGTTTACGAAACTATCAAAGTGGCTACAGATTCGCTTAGGGTTATGAAATGTGGCATGGGATATTTGCTTGGTGCAGGTAGAAAAAAAGAAAAAAGAAAAAAACATTCATCCACCTCATACTTCCAATTTATGTCGTTAACAACACATCATATTGCTTTGACTTCAAATAATATAATGATTAATCGCAGTTTTAACAAATAGTGCAGGCTCTTGAGCAGAATATGCGAAATGGTTCGTGTCCACAGATCCTAAAACCTTCGCAAAAAATCACATCATAAGAAATGACCCATTTTCAAGTTGCTTCGAAATGCATCCTTAATCAATATATAGATAAAGTGTAGAATTAATGAAAGTAGAGAACGACGGGGGAAGCAAAAAAAAACGTAATGTCTTAATCCGTGTTTGAATATGCTTCCACATACTTACGTACATGTAAGGGATATTATCATATTATTACTAGCTACTAGCTAGGAAGGTGAAAATAGTAGTGATATAAGTTCCAAAATCCGAATAAGGGTTGAGGTTGGTTTTCTATGCTTTGTGTGTACTGCATATTGTGTTAATGCACTGTTAAAGTTGATTACCTCATAAATAAGCAAGCATGACTTTAGTTAGATGAGAGGAGGGTCCTACCAACAACAAACATTCCATTAAAAACGTAGCAATAAATTAAGAAATTAAAGTGCAACCACCAGACCAGAGTAACGGACTTGCTATATCTCCAAAGGTAAAAGCAGTGGGCATATACATGATACGGGGAACGTTTTCTTAGGATGCATGATTCATTGATTCTCATCATAAAACAGCTATACAAACAAGAAGTGGAAAAACATGATATGGTAGGTATGAATTATGAATAAATATGGATATCTGTATTGGTCGTAGAGGGATTTGGATTGGATGGAGTAAAACTAAACAACCTGGATACTCAATTGCATTGCATGCTGTAGTATGTACTCATTATTTTTAGGATTAATACATGTGCAGGTGCATGATTTTTTGTGGTTTTTTTAACTAGGTCTCTAAATTATAAAAAGTGTAATTAAATTCTTATTTTTTCTTATAATTTTTGTAAATAAAGACTTATTAAAAAATTAGTTTAAAAAATTTAGAAAGTTTGACTTATTAATGTATTATTCTTAAATTAATAGAATTTAGTGCTCTTTATAAATATATAATAATAATAATAATAATAATAATAATAATAATAATAATTCAACATAGATTAAGAAAATTATACAGTTAAATGTATTTAATTTTTACAATTTGATATAAGATATATATTTACTAAAATATTCTATATCACAATTATTGTTTTGTAGACAATGCTCTCATTTTTTAAAGATGTTTTTAGATTTAGAACATTAAACAAATTGATTTTGGTTGAAATTTATTTATAT